ATTTTATTTAATTTAATAACAAGTAATATTAAAGAAATATTCTTAATCTATAGTCGGATTTCACAAGCTAAAAACATCTTATTTAAAAAATAAAATTAGACACATCTTAGCACTTAAGCTTTTATTTTTCAAAAAAAAAAATTTGTCCAATAAGTCAAAGATGTATTAAATATATATTTTTATCATAAATTTATATTAAAAATTAAAAATTAATATTTAATTAATCAATTATCTAATTAAATTTACTTATAATTAAAATTAATATTAATTTTTATATTTTATATACATTTATAATAAAATAAATAAATACACTCTTGTCATGAAACTTAATGGTATATGAAAAAAATAAAGTTGATTTTCGCTAATAGGGTACAGGGCTGATTTGTCATTTCAGTCTGATTTTTTAGGTTAAATACCCAATTTGATACTTCAACTTTCTATGTTGGACCATGTTCATCCCTGATCTTCAAAAATTACCAAAATTACCTCTAAAGTTTATTTTTACATTTTCAAATTAGTCCTTCTATCCACGGAAGTGCTCAGATTGCAGTTAAGATCTTTTTTTTACAAGAAATTTATGTAAAAATTGTAAAAATAAGTATTTATTTTAATGTTCATATTATGTAGATAAATATAATTGAATAATTAATAAATTTAACGTTATTTTTTTTTTTTTTCGAAACTTTTAACTTTGTATATTAAGGAAAACCTTTTAAAATTTTAAAAAATTACGTGAAAATTCTTTTGATGACGTGCACCTTAGCGGTTAATATTTAATAAGTTTAGGTACACTGAAATTACATAACTAGCCTTGCACTCAATATATTTATTTAATATTATTAAAATGAAAATAATGAAATGACAAAAGTACCCTTGCATTTCTTGTATAAAAATGATTTCACTGAATGCACTTTGTCTGTATTATCATCACATGTGCCCGACACATCGCGTCTTTTCTTGAAAATCAAAAGCAAAAAAGTACTGAAGTGACTAAAGCTTGTCATCCATTATAGCTGCTTTCGGTGAAAAGCATATGGTTAAATGTTAAATTTGGTCCCTTAATTTTATTAAATTACACATTTTGGTCCCTCAATAATTTTTTGATCCCTCAACTCTAAGAAATGCACTCCATTAGTCTTTCTGTTAATTTCGATCGTTAACTCGCTTATGTGGCGTTTTTTATTATTTTTTTGATGATGTGGCAAAAACAAATTAAAAACGTGTTGATGTGAATTTTTTTTTTCATGATATGAATTTTTTTTTCATGCCAACTCACATTATTTATATTTAAAAATAAAATATAAAAAACTTTCGTCTTCTTCTTTTCTCTTTTTCTTTCTCTTCTTCCTCTGCAGGCCATTGAACCTAGTTTGCTGGGTTCGACGGAACCCATTTGCTGGGTTCCGTCGAACCCAGTTGTTAGGTTCGCTGGAACCCAGCACTGGGTTCCATTGAACCCAGTAACTGGGTTCGACGAAACCCAGAACCCAACTCCACTTTTTTTTTTTTTTTGTTTATATGATTGTTTGCGAGATTATCCAAATTGCAGGTTGTTGTTAGTTATTTTTGGGTAACTGGTTTTTTGTTTTTGTTA